TCTGTGACTGTAGCTTGTGCTGAATTGAATTTGTTGCTCCCTTCCTCGCAATTTCGGGGGAGGTCCTGTCTCTCCAGCACTGACCTGCCACTGCCACGTCTTGACCCTGCAACGACTATAGGTTTGTCTTCCCATGCCGCGCGCGGCCCAGGCAAAACAGCGCTGGACTGGGCAAGAGAAGAAAGACATTGGGATTGCGTTTCACTCCTGGAGGCGGCGGGAGCCGAGCGGCTTCGCAGGGCGTTGGCGCTTGCGTTCCGTTTGCCTCCGTTTGAGCTTCCCGGCAGGCCAGCGGCTCCACGAAACCCTGACGTTGCGGGGCTCCCAGAAGCCTTCTCGCTCATTTCAGCATGCCGGGATGAGAGCACAGAAGTCCCTGCATGAGAGAGGTGCTTCCAAAGGCCTAGGTTGACAAATGGGGAGAGCTCGTGTACCCTGGAGTCCTGGAGTTGGAGTGAAAGACTTCGCGTAAGCTCGAGCTCGCGGCGCAATGATAGTTGATATAACGCCGATAGTATAGGTTTATGCTAAATGGGGTTTAGATGGGTTTAGGGTTTAAAAGTGTAGCAATGTTTAGGGTTTAGGGAGAACCCAAAATGGCCAGAAATGGAACCCTGGAAGCCTGGAGGGGTTTGAAGGGTTGAAGGTCTCGGGTTTTTGGGGGTGGGGGTAGCTTAGGGTGTCGAGTTGAGGTTTCTGGGTTTCGGTTTGAGGTGGGATGGGGGTGCCGAGTCCCAGAAGCTTCGACGGCCACCAGGCGGGATTCTCGAGCTCTGGCATGTCGCTGAGAAGCTGCCATGAACTGTGCCTTCAGGCCTCGTAGGACCGTAGGATAGAAGCCGTACGGAACCTTTTGTGGAAACTCCTGTCAAGTGCACTTCCCCTACAGCCCAGCTGTGGACGCGAAGCCCCCGACCCGACAGCCTTCAGCAACGCCGCTGAACCATTTCAAGGACTCCGGACACCATCCCAAACCGAAACGGTCTGATGCACACTACTGACCTATAGCCCCCAAATCCAAACCCCGAGCCCCCAAAACCGTGCAGGTTCTAAGAAGCCTGGACCCTCTCAGGCAAGGAATCGTGGAGACCAACATGGCAATGCCTCGCAGGCCCACCGTCAAATGCTGGAGATGCACTGCGAATTCTTTTCTTGAGGCTAGTTCGGGGTTCCAATGTTCCTGTGTGTTTCAGACCTTTGCGGATTGAATCTTGCTGCATCTCCTACTGCTACTACTCTTGTCACGACGAATTACGACGACTTTTGCCACTACTCCTCTTCCTCTTCTTCATCATTCTTCTTCGCCTACGACCGCCAGTCATCAACCGCTGCCGTTGTGAAGAGTATGATGCCATCTAGCTCGTAGTAGCCGGCCCTATAAACCCGAATCCCTAGAAATCCCAAAGCCTGCACCCCGGCGCCTCCAAGAGGCGGAAAGAATCGCAAGTGCCCTGTCTAGGAATGCTTGGTGTTGAGGGCTTTGGGGGTTCAAGGTCTTGGGATTATGATGGTAATAATAGTAATAAATAAGTGTTGTTGTTATTAATCTTCTTATGCTGCACCTTGCGTCCCACGCCAAGAACACCGATCCTGAATATCAATGAATCCTGACCAGCCCACGCCTCAGGCTACAATGCGCTCGCGCCACTGGCAACTGTCATCTTCAACATCCTCGGACTCCATTTGCTTCAATATTTTCAATGTGGTGCATCTGCACTCATCTCTGCCCTGTACAACTTGCAGCGAAGTTCAGGAACGGGATGGAACGGGTACCAAAGGAAAGGAGCCGTTTTCAGAGGATAGGCCAGCTGTCTGTGTTTTCGTGTAGGCTGACTCTTGCAGCCTACAGGCTGGGTTTGGGGGTGAAGTGAGACTTAAACTTTAAACGGCTCTTGCAGTACCCAGTTCCGTGGAATTCAGGAGCTTGCCTGAGGCAATGCTGACCAGTCTGAAGACCACCACTGCACCCGCGGGAGCCTCTTCGGATCCCGACGGCAGCAGTTCGGATAGCAGGAACCGCGGATCCAGACATTAATAGGCACCAAATGGCACTAAGCCCTAAAACCTTAAACCGTCTACCCTCTGAACCCTGCACTCCCGAATTCGCACACAAGATGCGGCTCGGCCACGAAGAGAAGCAGCGACTCATTGGCTGGTCCTCGTCGCACTTGCAACAAAGAGGGGGGGGCCTTAGTAGCATTAGTAGGTAGTACTTAGTAAGGAAATCAAAATCTTTTTATGCAAAATCTCTGCAAACATTGGGCTTTCGAAGACCCGAAATCATCCGAAATCGAAGTATGCAAGAACAAGAAGCAGTCGCTTGAAAGGCTCAGTCTGTGCTCTGACGGGTGCAGCCGTTTCTTTGCTCCAGAGCTCTCCGTGCCCAGTTCGAGCACTGCCCCAGCTCTCCTGATGGCTGCCTTTGCAGGGGCCTCGGGCCTGAGAGGATCTTTCGAAGTCCCCAAATTAAACTGAGAAGCCCTTGGTAAGCATCCTTCGATCTTGAGCCCCTCAACCGTGCTCTTTCTTCGTCCACTCTCCCTGAAACCTAACCCATCTATCCCTGAAGTTTAAAGCCCCTTCTAAGCATCCTTCAACCCTAAACTGTTCAAGACTCTTGCGAAGCCTCAAGCCCTGAACCCTAAACCCTAAACCCCTCAACCCCTTAAGAACCCTTAAACCCTGAACCCCTGAAGAAACCCGGGCCCTTTCCTGCCGAAACTCGAGAAACTCGTCGTCGCCGGGCCGAGGCTCTCCTTCTGGCCGGGGCCCGGAGAGCGCATGTTGGTGGGTTTGGGGTTTAGGGCTTTGGGGTTAGGGTCTAGGGTTTAGGGTTTAGGGGTTAGTTTGGGTTTAGGGTTTAGGGTTAACAGGGGCTTAGGAGGTTATTATAGGGAATGTCGGGGTATATAGGGTTTTATATAGGGGTTCATGGAGGTTCATGGTTCATTGGGATTTATACCGGTTTAGGGTGAACAGGGTTGAGGGGGGGTCTGAAACTTTAAGAGCTTTGGGGTGTTGGGCCTTAGGGTTGGTCTATGGTTTAGAGTTTAGGGTTTAGGTAGGGGTTAGGGGTTAGTTTGGGTTTAGGGTTTAGGGTTAACAGGGGCTTAGGGGGTTATTATAGGGAATATCGGGGTATGTATAGGGTTTTATATAGGGGTTCATAAGGGTTCATAGAGGTTCATAGGGGTTCATTGGGATTTGTAGGGGTCTAGGGAGAACAGGGTTGAGGGGGGGTCTGAAACTTTACGAGCTTTGGGGTGTTGGGCTTGAGGGTCGGTCTGCGGGTTTGCAGTTTATGTGTTCGTGCATCTACTCGATACCCGTAAGTATAAGAACGCTTGCCATGAAAGCGCCATCAAAGGAGCGCCTCTTCGCACCCGCCTAAGCCCTCAACCCTAAACCCTAATCCTTATAAACCCTAAACCCTAACCCTTATAAACCCTAAACCCTAAATCCTAAAGCCTCAACCTGTGACCTTACGACGGGAAGCTCCGAGCTGCGACGCCCCGAACATCTCCGAATCCGCAGCCCGTCGCCCCCTCCAAAACCCAGAGAAAACTAGCATGTCCTTATCATCAGGGATCCTACTGTTTAGGGTGCTAAATTGGGGTCCCCCCATTTTCGAAAGCCGAACCCTTAACGCCGAAACCCAGAAGGCCCGGAGACCTAAAACCTTAAACCTCTCAAAGCCCTCATTCGCACAAACCGCGAAACACACAAAGCCCGGACTCCAAAACTTAAACCCGAAACTAAAAGCCCAAACCCTATGAGCCCTAAACCCCTTATTGGAGTCCACAGCGGAGCCTTTTCCCAAGGCCCTCCTCCCGATGTTGGCTGTCCTCGTCGCAGCTGAGCCAGGGACCTTTGCGGGTTTGCTACGGTTTTGGGGTTTTTGGGCTTCGGGTTTCGGGTCTAGGGTCTATAGGGGTTTGGGGTTGAGGGTTTAGGGGTTTAAGGTCTAGGATTGAGGGCCTGGTAGGGCTTGCTAGAGTTCAATCGGATCTACTCGGGTTTAGGGTTTACCAGGGCTTGTCTTGGGGCGCATCAGGGTTTCGGGAGCTTTGCTTCTTCAGGCTTCGTTCACCCCGTCCTTCGCGAGGAGTGGGACATGTGAGCATTGGTGGTGTAGGTGGTCGAATCCCCCTACGGTTGATTGCTCTCCCTGCTACTGCCTCCACCAGCATGGCATTCCCGACCAGATTCGGTAAGGAAAAGAGGTGCCAAGAAAAAACCGGAGCCCTAAACCTTAAACCCAAAACCCTTTAAGCCCTAAATCCTAAGCCTTGTCTAAGCCCTAAACCAGACCAAGCCCGTACGACGAATCCTTAATCAAAGATCTTCGTTGCCCGGCCACAAGATAAAGGAACCGCACAGACGCCCGAAAGCTTCAAGCCTGAACCCTGTACGCCCAAAGTCCCCCAATCAACACCAAAATTCAAACCCTAAACCTCCACACCCCAAGACCCCAACCGCAAACACCAACGGACCCCAAACAACCCAGTGCCCTAAAACCTATAAACCCCAAGCCTCCCCAGGCCGGCAGCTTCGGCTCTGGAAGCCAGCAAGGTCCCCACCCTTCGTCGGGTTTGGGGCGGGGAGGGATTTAGGGTTTGGGGGGGTTTCTGGGCTAGGGTTTCGGGGGGTTTTGAGGGTAGTTCTTTTGTTCGTTTGGGGCCGAGAGAACATGAGGGTCGGGATTTGGGGGTTTTGGGGTGTCGGGGCTTTGGAGGCTTGAAAGACCTGACTACCCCAGACCTAAAAAACCTAAAGTCCTGGAGACCTAAAGCAAAATCCCAAACCCTTATAAACCTCCTGAAACCCCGAGCCCCGAAGAGTTGAGGCCTCAGGGTTCTACTGAGGTGGTGATAGCGACGAATAAGATGAGGATTCTGGCAACCGGCAGGGCTGCCAGCAGCATTCGCCGGGAACGCTGAGGAGGACAGCCTACTTACAAAGTCGAGCATTCGTGCCAACGTAGTAAATTGGAGGATAGCATGCATGGTAGGACCATTCCGCTCAAGCTCCTGCCCTCGCCTCGAGCGCCAGGCCCGGCAGCTTGCCGTGGTGAGCGTCCAAACCTGCAATACGACCCGACTGCTCCGGCCTCAGGTTGGAAAGACCCGTCGTTTCCAAGGTTTTCCCTTCATTCGCCGTCTATTGAGGACCGAAGTAGACACATACATGTTTCAGCTGCTCTGGTTATTGCCACTGAGGCTGCTGCTGATGGTGGTGTTGATGATGATGATGATGATGAGATGATGATGATGATGATGGTGCTATTGATGGTGCTATTATTGATGCTGCTGCTGCTGCTGCTGCTGTTGCTGCTCTCGCTGCTTGTGGAGGTGGTAGTGCTGGTGTAGTCGCTGTGCGTGTGATTGCCATCTTGCCTCGTCTCTGCGATGATTCTTTGTGGCCGTAGCCTTATGATGCCTTATGCTGTTGTGCATCGGTGTGTTCAGCATATGTTTATATGGGTTCTGCTTGCGATCATCATTCCCATTGCCAGTGGTCGGTCCTGTGCCCGGTCTCTTGTAGAGCCGAACAGGAAGGGAAGGTGATGCACGGACTGTTTTTGTTCGGAGCCCCTGGGCGGTACAGCCAGGAGTATTTTGCTACTTCTAGGGGTGTGGATCGGCTCCCTCCTGCATGCGGTGCTTACAGGGGGGGCGAGCTTCCAATCCCTTTCATCGGGACGATATCTGGAGCGCTGCCAGAGCGGGGCGCCCAGGCAGAGGCTACCATGTCAGAATCAACAGTGACAGAGCCATTGGGTATGACCAGGAGACTAATTAGCAGCAGTGGTCCTCGCGTTCGTTTCTCAAGCTTGAAGTGGATCGGATGGGACACTTTGTGGACAGCATGTCGTGTCGAGGGCTGCTTAAACAATGCCGTGCAAATCTGAACTTATGATCTTTTTCGCCTACGAGGACGGAAGAAAAACTCTGCAACAATGGGCCCTAAACCAAACCACCCAGGCCCGATGTCTTGCGCCCAAGGCCAGAGTTGCTCGGGAGTTTCTGCGAGGCTTTTGTACGTGGCATAGCTAAACACAGGGTTTTCTGGCCCGAGGCTCTAAGCAACAGAGATGGCAGTCACCATCGGTTTCGCGCGACAAGCAGCTTTCGTGAACTTAAGACAGAAGAACGCGCTCTTGTTGTCTTCTGCATTGGGTTCCATGCGAGGGCCCACCACCTTTTGCCCAAATCAAGGTCCATGTGCAGCCTGGGTGTGCAGTTGAACTCCTTTCGACCGAGTTTTTTGGTCTACTCGGGTCTACCCTGCTCCCAGGATCAAGCTTGCTTTTTCTGGCCGTTCCGCCCATGCCAGGTTCCAGGCCATGGAGCTCCAGATGCGCTCGGTTCCGGGCTGGCAGCCGCTGGACGAGCCCCAGGCAGGAGTCTTTGTCGGAAGCCCGTTTGGAGGTGCTCCCAATGAGGTATGCCGTCAAAGCGTGCGCCCGTTGCAGGCGGTGCTGCCCACCGCCCTGGAGATGCCCGAGGACGCGGCTTTGGCGGCGCGTCGAATCGACGCGCTCATCGTCGGCGTCCTCACCGTCGGCCCGGGCCCGCAGTCAGGGCATGTCGGATCACAAGGAAGGCAAGAGGCGCTGTGTGTGCGATGTCAAGTAGACATGTACCATGAGTGACAGGGGTCCATGCAGTATGACAGCGAGCAGGGCTACCTCCCTACCCAAAGAAGTTGCGCGCCAAAGCGGGAAACCAGGTCTGACCCCCCCCCCCTTCGTGCCTGCAATTCNNGGTTGGCGAAGGACTAGGCCGAGGACCACGAGTGGATTTATTGGCACCTCAACACGACGCTTGGGCCAGGGTCAGCCAACCAGACATCGGAATATTCGGGATCTTGGCAAAGGCATCGAAAGACTGCATATCATGACTTTGGCAATGTGTTTTCTCAGTATGTGTGGGTGTGTGTGGGTTTGTTTTCCAGCTGGCAGTCTCTCACAGCGTGGCCACGGATGGACTTTGGGTGCGTGATGCGGGCATGTATGTGGGCAATGCGGCTTGCGTAGCCCGAGCGGGGGGCAGCAGAGGACCCCGAGTACTGCACAATTTCTGGGCTCACAGCCTTCAGCACTTGGCATCGAAGGGTCATGTCGGTGGGTAGCGCAGCGCGTGAAAGCGGAGTGAGCTATCGCAGATTGTAAGGTTAGAGGCTTCTGTTTAGGCACCGAGCTAGGGTAGAATTAGAATGTGGGTGGTAGAGGCGCGCCCTGCTTGAGGTCTGGCCGTCGTTGCGGCAACCGTGCCAGTGGCGATGGTGTCCTTCCTGGCATGCATGGGATGCCAGGGAGCTTCGACAGGGCCACGCACCAAGAGGTGGCCACAGGCCACAGGTAGCAGAAATTGGAAGTCTGCGATGCAAGACGATTTTGGGCCTGAATTGTTCTGTTAATTTTGTTTGTTCTGGCTGCTGTTAGGCGCAACGGTTCGGATTGAGCTCTGAGGTCAAAAGAAGACCACGACTACACCCGTCTCTCAACCGTCGAAGAGGGAGCAGGAGAGCTGGGCACCGTGGGATGCCTGTCGCTTGGTGTCCTCTTCAATTACTCCCGCTCTCGGCAGGCGAAGTGGCACAGGAGCAGAAGGACGAGGAGGAATTCGAAATCCGGCTAGGCCCACTTAAGACCGCCATCTTTGGAGTGTGGGCCTCGTCCTGGACGTGCCGGATGGCAGCATATCAAAAGCCGTTCCCTTTCAGGTCTACTATGCTTGCAACATCATCTTTCTGCTAGCACCGCGCTCAAGGGGCTCGTCAGTGACCCCGTCGTGTGCCTTCTTGGCATTGGCCCTGCCTTAATGAGGCTCTGACCTCCTGGTCCAAAGCAGGGAATCTGATGCTGGGCGGGGCAGGGCTGGACTGGGAGGTCATCTGGCTCTGGCTCGTGGCCCGGGGCCCGGTGCCGACCACCTCCCATTTTTGGAGCCTTTCGGAGTTTCAGGTCGTTCTGGCTGCGGACGTGGTGGGCTACTTTTTCCGCAGGGTGCAGGCGAACTGCCTGGGCCGGACCACGGCCGGAGGGCCGTCGCAGTGAGTCTTCCCGGCTGCAGGCGGCGTGGATGAAGCGCCAGATCAGCGTCACAGACCCTGCCATTTCCATCGTCATGAGCGCTCCGGCCTCAGACCGTGGTGGTATAGGCGGATGCTTGAGAAATCTACAGAGACTTGAATGCCGCACTCAGGTCTTCCCCGTTCTGGGGCCACGGGTGGATCTGCTCAAGGACGGACCACCCCGGCTTTGCGTGTGCTCTTCCCTGTGCTCTCTCGGAAGGTCCAAGGTTCGCAGGGTGTCTTTACATTGGGGCCTCGGGCCATCGGCGCTAGCAGGATTGCCTGTTTGCTGGCGCCGTGTTTCAACTCGCGGCCTGCCAAGCGGACGACTCATGGAGACGCACCGCAGGCCAGTCTCCTGTAGCTCTTCGCAGAGTGGAGGAATCCTAGGTTTTGCGAGTATGGATCGTGTCCAGAAAATGATTCAATCCTGATCTTAGTTTAATAAGGGATGCCGATAGGAGGTCTCGTGCAGCTTTTGTACTTTCCGTCAGGCTTCTTGGTTGGGAACGCAGCGCTCCTCACCATTTTCCTGCCGGCACCGGCCTTGCATGGCCCTTACCTCTATGCGTGGTGCAGATGTGTAGAGCCAGAAATGGCGAAAGGTGCTGGTCCAGAAAGGTGGATGCAGCATGACGATGCATCCGTGCTTATGTCGGTCCGTTCCTCGTGCAAGGTTCTGGTTCGCAACGACCAGGAGCGGGGGACCCTTTTTTTTTTGGCCCTTTATTTCTATTTTTTTTGGCCCTCTTTTTTTTTCGTCCCTCCGGGGGGGTGGCGGGAAGGCAGGCGGGAAGGAAGGAAGGAAGGAA